AATTTTGACAATTTCACACAAATTTCGAAAGATGCCAATTTCCAAATAGGGTCCAGAATAAACAAGACAGACATTCCTGGCACTAAAATAACATTTCCTCTGTTCATTAGTCATGTCCCCAGGCCCATCTTAGTGTAGAAATGGTATAACTAATATCAGCGCACTTGTGAAAGAATATTAGTCTCACCAGTTGATGTGTATTGGACACGTGGCACGATTTGTTTACTTTTGTTGAACTTTGGCAAAAATCGAACATTTCTGCTACTTTGAGCTCAATTTCAAGGTACTTTTCATTGTGAAACAAATCAAAATCATCTTAATTTCTGTAATATGTCTTCCATTCTATAAAATGAGACCAGGAAAACTAGAATACAACCATAAATACCATACAAAAATACAATGCAATTTCGCTGTTTTAAACGAAAAACACGGTCAAAGTTTTTTTTTTCTCATTATCTGGAGTTTATCTGGAGAGAGTTCCGGGGGTCAACGCCCCCGCGGCCCGGTCTGTGACCAGGCCTCCTTAGGTCAGTGTCCCAGGATGCGACCCACACCAGTCGACTAACACCCAGGTACCCATTTTACTGATGGGGAACATAGACAACAGGTGGAAGGAAACACGTCCAATGTTTCTACTCTGGCTGGGAATCGAACCCAGGCCCTCACCGTGTGAAGCGAGAGCGTTAACCACCAGGCCACCAGAGCCACGCACTGTGTGCTGCAGGATTTTTTTTATACTGTGCACACTGACCACATAGACCCATTCTTTCATATGAAGGCCTACCAGCTTTCTCTTGCTAGATTTGAAGGCGCTAGAATTTAGGCGTACTAGTACGTCAATAACCCTGGTGCATAAGCCGTACTAGTACGTAGGAAATCCTGAAAGGGTTAATTTACATTCACTTGTTAGACGAAGAATGAGGGGAGACATGATCGAAGTGTATAAGTGGAAGATGGGTATTAGTAAAGGGGATATAAATATTTAAAACTTAAGATTTAATTTAAGTCTGCCCGAAATGCCTAGCCATGCTAAGTGTTCTAGTGGTACACTCTGTAATTATTATTTTACTCATGTAAACCACACAATAACCAAATTCTGTAAACTCAGCATTGTAATCCTTATAGAGAATAAACTTTGAATTGAATTGAATTGAAAATAAGGTCTTGAGGACATCTTTCCAAGAGAGAACCCGCAGTAATGGATTCAAATTAGACAAGTTTAGACTTAGAAAGGATACAGGAAAGTATTGGTTTGGAAATAGGGTAGTTGATGAGTGGAACAGTCTGCCTAGTAGAAGATTGAGACACTTATGCAACATATGGGAATCTTTACTGAGGAAATATTTCGCCACACAGTGGCTTCATGAGTCCAATACAAAGTAGAAAGGTGTAAGGAGAGGAGGAGTTTGAGGTAATCAGTCCCTCATCCTGGAGTCGATGTGTTCAGCCCATCAATCCTGTAGAATGTACAGCATAAGGCCATAGACGTGGCTTATATACTGTAGTTAGGTGAGGCGAAGCAGGAGGAGGCGGGGTCAAAGTGGTACCATCCACTAGTCGAAGTAGGTCTTCGTCCAAAGGTTGGACAAGTTTTGAATAATTATTTGTATCAAGATCCCATGATGTTGTGTACGAATGGTATATAATACCGACAAGATGAGAGTAAGACACATGTGCAACATCTGGGTATCTTTATTGTAGACGTTTCACCATCCAGTGGCTTTATCAATACAAATTCTAGGACATAACTTGAAGACTAGAACTATGTACAGAAGATGAGGTAATCAGTCCCTCAACCTAGGAGTAGGTGCGAACAGCACCATAGTCGTGGAGATTCTGAAGCAGAAGAAAGAATCCTGGCGCTTATATAGTAACGTCAGGTGAAGCAGACGAGGGCAAATTCACTGGTAGGCGGGATTCCCCAGTGGAAGTACATAACCTTCACGACTACGACAACTACTACTACAACTAACCCATCTCTTTGGGAAGGACCTACTTCCACTGGGGAATCCCGCCTACCAGTGAATTTGCCCTCGTCTGCTTCACCTGACGTTACTATATAAGCGCCAGGATTCTTTCTTCTGCTTCAGAATCTCCACGACTATGGTGCTGTTCGCACCTACTCCTAGGTTGAGGGACTGATTACCTCATCTTCTGTACATAGTTCTACTGTCTTCAAGTTATGTCCTAGAATTTGTATTGATAAAGCCACTGGATGGCGAAACGTCTACAATAAAGATACCCAGATGTTGCACATGTGTCTTACTCTCATCCCATGATGATGCAGTGTATGACAGTTGTGATGAATGGTTTTGAAAACCGACAAGTTGAAGACTGAGACACTTATGCACCATATGGGAATCTTTACACCTTTCTACTTTGTACTGGACTGATGAAGCCACTGTGTGGCAAAACGTTTCCTCAATAAATATTCCCATATGCTGCAGAAGTGTCTCAATCTTTAACTTGTCGGTTTTCAAAACCATTTATCACAATTGCCTAGTAGAGTTATCGAGGCTAAAACTTTGGCTAGTTTCAAATTTAGGTTGGATAAATACATGAGTGAGAGGGGTTGGATTTGAGTGGGACTTGCACATGGGTAAATAGATTTATCAAAGCTTATTTCTTGGGTAGCACTGAAAATTGGGTTGGGCAAATACTATTTTGATAGTGGGATGGATTGTGAAGGACCTGCCTAGTATGGGCCAACAGGCCTGCTGCAGTGTTCCTCCTTTCTTAGGTTCTTACGAACGCATCCACATGCGAGTTTTACCAGATACGAGCAGTCGCTCGGTCGATTTTTTGCTTCCATACGTGAGCGAAATTTCCAGATGCGAGTGAGCTCTGCTGAGAGGCATACTAGTGTTGCTGAAAGTGGCATGAAGAGGTATAAGCACATAAGTCTTAGAATTAACAAAGATATTAAACAAGAGATAACCTGTAGCCGTAATTGAAGTGCTACTTTGTGCACAGAAAAAGAGGTTAACATGAGTTTGTGTGACTGACTGAATGACTGACTTACTGAATGACTGACTGACTGAACTGACTGACTGGCTGACTTGACTGACTGAATGACTTACTGAGTGACTTGATTGTCTTACTGAGTGACTTGACTGACTTACTGAGTGACTAGACTGACTTAATGACTTGACTGACTTAATAACTTGACTGACTTAATAACTTGACTGACTTAATAACTTGACTGAGTTAATAACTTGACTGACTTACTGAGTGACATGACTGACTTACTGAGTGACTTGACTGACTGACTGAATGAATGACTTGACAGACTTACTGAATGACTTGACTGACTTACTGAGTGACTTGACCAGAATATTATATTATTATTCTTTTGTACTTCACTGTATCATATTCAAATTAATAAATAAATAAATAAATAAATTACTACTGCTGAGAAGAAAAAGAAATGATTTCCATGGAATTAAAGCATGAAATCATAGATAAACAAGGGAGGTGTCCAGGTTTTGGGTTACGGGGGAAGAGGGAAGGGGGAGCTGGCTCGTAACTCGGAGCAAAAAATCGACCCAGGGACGGCTCGTACAGTAACATATGATACTGTATGCGATGTAAAATTTACAATACAGTTCACTACCATGTATACATTACATACAGTACATAAATAATTAAAATATAACAACAGAAGTAAATTATGGTAAAAAGAATGAAAAAATGATTGTACATTACATTACAGTACTATGTAGGTAGTTTATATAGGAAAAGTTTGACATTATGCCCTACCCAGTATGTCGGCAATTTTCAAAGGTTCGACTTACGTCCATTTTGAGTTACGACCGGTTGGTTGGAACCAAGCTTGGTCGTAAGTCGGATGGTAGGTGTACTTAGCAAACCAAAATTGTAATTACACATTGTAACCTTTACAAAGAAATAAAATCTTTATATTTATCATGTAAAACAACTTAACAGACTTATTACCTAAAATTTTTAGTGTCTTTTGTCCTCTTTGCCTTTATACAAAGGAAATATGCATGGTCTCTGCCAATCCCCAGGTGCCTTACCTTCTTCCATACATTTATTAAATAAAAGCACTAAGCACTCCAAAACTATAACCCCACCTGCTTTTAACATTTTTATCTTTATCCTATCAATCCCAGCTGCTTTACCCCCTTTCAATCTACCCACTGCCTCATGCCCTTTCCCCCGCACTCACAACTGGCTCTACCTCACTCCTACATGATGTTATTCTTCCTTGCCCTATACATGAAATCAAAGCTTCCCTATCTTCATCAACACTTAAAAATTCCCCAAAATATTCCCTCTGTAGCATGCAAAGAGTATGTTACAATTTATTCAGCATATGTCACACTCCCATATAGGTTGCCTCCCAACTGGCGAACTGGGTGCCCTGGTTCACTGAACAATCGCAGGCAAGCTCGCCAAAGCTGAAGCAACGTGGTTCACTTGAGGTAAGCATTAGCAGAATTGCCTCCCAACTGGCGAACTGGGTGCCCTGGTTCACTGAACAATCGCAGGCAAGCTCGCCAAAGCTGAAGCAACGTGGTTCACTTGAGGTAAGCATTAGCAGAATTGCCTACCTACTGGCTGAGTACGGTGCATTCTGGCTTCTGCTTTGCCATCTGTCACTGTGGTGTACACATTATTGTATCTGTACATATCTGTATGTAGTAGGTGAAGGCAAAATATACATTATAGTCTACTGCTGAGTTTGTTTGCTCCAATTCCCATTAGGCCAAGTTTCACAGGCCATTCATTACTTGTGTTTGTAATACCCTACATCATCCTGATACCTCTAACTCTCCATTTAATAACTCTCCCCTCCTATTTTTAACTATCAAATCCATTTGTTCCCTAGATTAATGACACACAATATAGATTAATGGCATATAAAAATTTTCCTCAGTGCCATATTTTCTTGGCTAACTTTTTGAGTTACATTACAGTCACATCACACCATAAAATAAAAGAAACCTGCATAACACATTTAGTGTGGTAGATCATACCTGTCTAGAGTCTGTAGGTCAGGCATCTCATTGATGAATGTTAAGCTGTACATCTGACACTGCTTCACCAAATTGTTGAAGAGTGGCTTATCAACTGATTTGGGATAGAGAATTACTGGAGAAAATCCTAGAAGCTTGAGATGCCTAGCACACACTAGGCCGTCTCCACCATTGTTGCCTGGACCACAGCACACTAGAACTGATTTGGCTGTCTCAGGATGGTAATTCTGCAAGATATATAGCACACATACACTACAACATGTACCATCATAAACAAACAGTAAAAAAGTTAATTTTATATTACAGATATTTAGGAGGGGACAGTCAGCAGTAGGGTCTATGAAGGATGAGGTGAATCATAGAATGATGAGGGGGAACGGGTGAATGGTTGCACTTAGGAGTCTGTGGAGACATCGAACTTTGTCCGTGGAAGCAAAGAGGTGACTGCTTTAGAGTATCGTTATACCAACACTCTTCTCTGTGGTGGAAGAAATGGGGTGGTGATATTGCAACAAGGAGAAGGAGGAGGCAGTGAGATATCATGTTGAGGGCAATGTGTGGTGCTTCGTGCATACAATTGCGAGAATATGTAGTAGTTTGGAACTTAGGAGAAGGTGCGAGATTACCAGAGGGCTGAGGTGGGGTTGTTGAGGTGTTTCAGACCTGACGAGAGGGATGGAACAAAATAGAATGCTTGAGAGTATATAAATCTGTAGTGGAGGGAAGGGGGTTGTAAAGGTTGTAAAAGCGGTTGTTGGTGCGAGGGGCTTGTGGAATTTCCAGAAGCATGCGTGGTGTATTTGATAGGAGTGAATGGAGACAAATGGTTTTTAATACTTGTCGTGCTGCCAGAGTGTGGAGCCAAGTAACATTATGGAGGGATCAGGGAAATTGGCAGGCCGGACTTGAGTCTGGAGATCGGTAGTAAGCATCTGCACTCTGAAGGCGGGGTGTTAATGTTGCATTTTATATATGTAGTGTAAGCTACCTCTGACCAAACAGAGCTGAAGTGAATTGATGATGAAAATTTTCTTTTTTCGGGCCACTTGCCTTGGTGGGAATCAACCGCTGTGTTAATAAACGGAAAAAAAATAAAAAAAAAAACAAATATATATACTAACAGGAGGCCTCACATTCACGAGGGGTAAGGGGATCACGAACATGCGAATCTTGTAAATTTGCGAATGTTTGGATGCTCACATCTGATGTTAGGGAAATATAATAATTACTGTTGCTGTAGTATTCACAACATGTTTGATGTTTTACTTATTGTAGGGACATATAATAAGAGCATTTACTTAGCTACAAATACAGCTTCCTTAAACCCACCCTACTGGAACATGAAAAACATTAAAACACATGGAAAAACATCGTTAAAATTATTGTATACGTGCATTTTTTTTTTATTTACACATCGGCCAATTCCCACCCAAGGCAGAGAGGCCCGAAAAAAAAAAGAAAAAACTTCTCATCATACACTCCATCACAGTCTGGACAGAGGGGTGCTTTACCTTACAGTTATACAACTGCAACATTAACACCCCTCCTTTCTGAGTGGCAGACACTGTACTTCCCATCTCCAAGACTTTCAGTCCGGCCTGTGGTTTCTGAATCCTTATAAATGATTACTTTGCTCAACTCCAACAGACATCAAGTATCTAAACCATTTGTCTCCTTCACTCCTATAATATGCTCACACATCATCTTTCTTTCAACAAATGGCCGTATCCACCGATGCAGGGTTGGCCCACCCAAAAAAGAAAAGAAGTTTCTCTTTTTTATATTTAGTAATTTATACAGGTGATGGGGTTACTCGCCCTTGCTCCCAGCATTTTAGTCACTCTTACAACACGCATGGCTTAGGAGGAAGAATTCTGATTCCACTTCCCATGGAGATAACAGGAAAATAAACAAGAACAAGAACAGTAAGAAAATAGAAGAAAAACCAGAGGGGTGTGTGTACAGTGGACCCCGCATAGCGAACGCCTTGCATAGCGGAACATTCGCATAGGCGAACGCTTTGATCGCTAAAATTTTGCCCCGCATAGTAGACACAAACCCGCTCTCGCGAACTTGGCGCGACGCGTCATTGTGCGGCCTCAGCCAGCCTCACATGTGACGCTGTCCCATTGATACCAGCAAGCCTCCGCGGTAAATCATCCACGCATAACTCGGATTATTTCGTTATTTATTACCGTGTTTCGGTTCTGTTTTTGAAAATAAGTGACACCATGGGCCCCCAAAAAGGGCAAGTTTCTAGTTGCAACCCTGTGGTAAAAAGGGTGGATTAGTATGGAATTAAGAAAGATTTTGAAGGGTTTATGGGGCTACACTGAGAAGCCTATGCCAGTTGTGGAAATCCATTGTGCTATTCAAAAATTAAGGAAATCGTAGATGCACATGGGTTGATACTGCAACCCTTTATGGATGGAAAATCACCCTTGACAGGCTGTTGCAAGGGCGCTGTGTGACTATTTCAATGGACAATGTTATGGCCATTTTAGACAAAGCGTAAAGGAACGGGGGTACAGAAGCTCTATGGACAGAAAGAATCCAGTGATTCTGAAGCTGTTCCTAGTGGCATTAAAAGAAGTAGGGAAGTAACCCGGGAAAAAGGTTTGCTCCTCAAGTGATAATGGAAGGGGATTTCCCCATTCTAAACAATAAACTCTCTCTCTCCCCTCCCAACCATCACTCATCACCTGATCTTCAATAAAGTAAGGTCATGTAATTGTGCATTGCCTTTTTCAGTTTGTGTGTACTAAAATTAACATTTTTTTGTGGTAAAAAATTTTTTTTTTCATACTTTTGGGTGTCTTGCACGGATTAATTTTATTTCCATTATTTCTTATGGGGAAAATTAATTCGCATAGCGAACATTTCGCATAACGACCAGCCCTCTTGCACGGATTAAGTTCGCTATGCGGGGTCCACTGTATATATACAGTGGACCCCCGTCTTACAAATGCATCGCATTATGTTAAATCCGCGATACGAAGCATTTGAATGCAAAAATTTTGCCTCGCCTCACGATAAAAAACTTGCCTTACGTGATTCTTTCTGGGAAGCGTCCCAAGTGTGGCCTCAGTGCCAGTGTTTACAAGCCAGCCAGTGTGGCCTCAGCACCAGTGTTTACAAGCCAGCCAGTGAGGTCGCATCTACGCATACATTCGGTACATTTCACATTATCCCAGTATTTTTAGTGCTTGTAACTGCAAAATAAGTCACCAGGGACCCCAAGAAAGCTTCTAGTGCCATCCTTGTGGTAAAAAGGGTGAGAATTAGTATGGAATTGAAAAAAGAGATTAAGGAAATGTGTGCAAAGTGGCTTGAACTGCAATGTTATGGCCCATTTTAGGAAAGTCTTAAAGGAACAGGAGGTACAGAGCTCTATGGACAGATTTGTTGTGCGACAGAGGACCAGTGACTCTCAAGCTGGTCCTAGTGGCATTAAAAGAAGAAGGGAAGTAACCCCAGAAAAGGACTTGCTACTTCAAGTCCTAATGGAAGGGGATTCCCCTTCTGAACAATAATTTTCACACTCTCCCCTCCTCCATCCCATCAATCATTACCAGATCTTCAATAAAGGTAAGTGTCATGTACGTACTCTATTCTTAGTAGAGTAGTAATTGTGCATGTCTTCTTCAGTATGTGTGTATTAAAATTAATATTTCATGTGGTAAATTTATTTTTTTTTCAAACTTTAGGGTGTCAGGAACGGATTAATTTGGTTTCCATTATTTCTTATGGGGAAAATTAATTCGGCTAATGATAATTTTGGCTTACGATCAGCTCTCAGGAACGGATTAATATCATAAGGTGGGGGTCCACTGTATATGTTTGTACATGTATGTGTAGTGTGACCTAAGTGTAAGAAGAAGTAGCAAGACGTACCTGAAATCTTGCATGTTTATGAGACAGAAAAAAGACACCAGCAATCCCACCATCATGTAAAACAATTACAGGTTCCGTTTTACACTCATTTGGCAGGATGGTAGTACCTCCCTGGGCGGTTGCTGTCTACCAACCTACTACCTAGGACGCTTACACATGCTTCCTGGAAATCCAAGCCCCTCGCACACAAAACCTCCTTTACCCCCTCCCTCCAACTTTTCCTAGGCCGATCCCTACCCCGCCTTCCCTCCACTACAGATTTATACACTCTCGAAGTCATTCTGTCTCGTTCCATTCTCTCTATATGCCCAAACCACCTCAACAATTCTTCCTCAGCCCTCTGGTCAACAGTTTTGGCAATCCCGCACTTCACCCTAACTTCCAAACTACGATGACAGTTGGCGGTGATTATATGGAGTGTAACTGCATGACATGATGAGTCTAGTGTGTGGATTCTAACTCTTCACTGCCAGCTTCACTGTCGACATCGCTAGAGTCAGAGTTAGGAACGGAGTCAGATTCTGCCATGGGTTGAGGTGCAGGTTCACAGGTTGAGGTTCAAATAATGCTGATTCCATCTTAGACATCGCACTGTTTCTTACTTGTGACACTTGCTTGGCTGAGGGAGGAGCAGTAGATGCTAGTGCTGCCCTTATCCTCGCCTCATTTTTCTTGATAGAGCGCAGTGTGCTTTTGTTTACATTAAATAATTTTCCAATGCCAGAATTGTTCAAATAACCTGTTATAAACAACCTGCCCTATACTTGTCTAGCAATTTCACCTTCTCCTCCAGATTATACAATTTTTATTTCTTTACAAGTTTACATTGAGATTCTGTAGTTACAATAATGAGTTGCAGTGCAAAGAGAGCCACCAACATGCCATGGCATTATGGGCAGACTAAATTAATGGCTTACAAACTACTTAATACGAGAGAAATTGATCATAGTTTAAGTTGTACATCTGTTTTTATTTAAAGCAGACAATAAGTTAACTCAAGTTACAATCTGGGGATATTACATTGGGACAATTTGAAGGTATTTTGTAGGTTGCATACATCAATAGGAAATATTTAAGTTATATTACTGGAATATAATATTGAGTGTTGGTGAAAGTAGTTTACAGTATGAGAATGCTACAATATGGTGTAAGGCAGTTATAGTTTTGTGCAGGTATTTATACTACAATGTAGCATTAAGTTATATATGAGCTTTGGGTATTTAAATTTTGAAGTGTTAAGATTTAGGTAATTGGGAGATCTAAATTTAAGTATTGAGTATTTAATATTTAGTTAGGATGAGAAGATGGTTTTTGAGAAGAGTCTTAAATTGAT